AAATTGAACGGTCCTACCAGAAACAGGTTGTCCCAGTGAGCACTACGTTTTCGTTCCCTCTGAGAAGCACCGAATGCGTTAGTGAATTCTGGGCAAAAGATTCGCACCGTTGGTGGCACCTAACAAGGTTGAAACAGATACACAGTGATTTAAAGCTTTTATGCTAGGTTTTCTGCTTCTTGTAGAAAGAATTCCCATCAAAGGATCAGTTCTGCGGTAGCATTTGTACAGAATTTAGAAGTGATGAGTGCATTTCATTCTGCTCATTGAGATCACAAGTATGTGACCAAAAGTTTATTTTTTACGATAATTTTACAGGGATATGTTATAGCTTCATTTTGCTTCCCTGTCAAGAAAAATCGAAAATGAATATATTATGTCTAAGAAGAATATTTAAATTTTACTTTTCCATCCGTTGTCTATAGAAAGAGGTGGTCAACTTACGCGTGCGCCGCAAGCGAAATGCCTGGTAATAAATGTGGTCTGCTCCATCCGATCTCCCGGCGCTTTCTTAGCAGCTTTACTAGCATTTCCAGTGAGACATCGAAGGTACTCGCCTCGAATCCCCGAGTAAAATCGTGTGCTGAGCTTGTTCCAACAGTTACCACGCGGAAGGTATGATTCCCATGAGTGTTGTTTTGAATAGGGAATGTTTTTCCATATATGTGTAATATACTGCTGGGAGAATTTAGTACTTGTAGAATGAGTGCGCATTCATGGGTTTTAGATGCGGAATAAAATGAAGGAACAAAGAATTATCTCCCTAGAAGGACAAACTATTTGAGCTTTATTAACAGTGCCACTGAGAATGGGTTTGATGGAACTTTCTGTTGTTAGGATCGACCAAGGATCAGCTGATCAGGAAAATTGGTGAGCATGTTTATCCGGTATCGTATGGTCACTAATGGTAAAAGCCGACGAAAATCGGAACATAGTGTGAACGCAGTTGAGTCAGTCTAATGTCTACGTTCGTTTGTCCCATGCCACTTGCCGTGTGTTGGTGTTCGTGTCTAGGTATCAAAGCCAACATCAGACAAATTATGTTGCCTTCTGAGCAGATATCGAGCTTGCAGCTTCGCAACTTCGGTTAATTATCATACTTCATCACAAAATAAGTGATTTTTGCTTCATGTGATTTTCGTAATCAACAAAGGTCAGTTCCATCAGTTAGTTATACATTATTTTCTTAGCGAAAGGGAGGTCGGATTACGAAGACGATATCAATGAACTGAAGCATGGATAGCAGGGTAGTAAAAACCCAATGAGGCATATATTTTGTGACTGAATTGATCGAATATTGAAGCAAACCCTTTCGGAGATTAGCATAAAAGTAAAATCCAGCACCATACTGATGCATTCATGCCAAACATACATTCCTATAATAAGGTTTGCAGGTGTCAGTATAAAAAAACTAAAACGTAACCAGGTATATGGTGAATGAGTAAAGAAAATTCTGGCTCCTGATGACGGATCTGCCGTCGATGATGACAACTGTCTGGCTTTTACCAACTTTTGTACAACCATGAACGCCAGATAACGGTAAAATTTCTTTTGAATTATTAGCACTTGCCGAGACAATGATGATGTCGGTATCCTGTGAGCCCCAATGTTTTCACCGTGGCTTTAGAATTACATCATATGGCTTTGAAGCTAAGTTGCAACACGCTCGAAGACTGGGTTCTATCACTGTCCCTTCAACTTTCGGATGTGGCTCCAAGCTAGCATTCAATTAAACAGACTGACAGAGGCAACCGTCCTTGAACCAGCTGTGAATGTTCTGCTCTTCTGGTGGATCATTCTGGTATATTTGGTGTAGTGGGTTCGAGTGATCGCTAGTTTAATCTCTGGTCTAAAAACGGGGATAGCATCATTCATCCTTGTCGAAAGAAGAGAAACTTAAACCCCTGAGTATATCCGTTTCCTATGAGCCAATTTTCCAATTTTCAAGTCAGAATGAATGCCACCATTTGCACGAATTCTTCTAGTCCCATTGGATCTACTTCAAACGAGATAGTGTTCATGCACTAAAATAGATAAAGGCTTCGAAATACAAGTAATGATCAAGTCGTGCTTTTTTGATGCACGTTGGTCAGCCATGTTGTTTTCCGGAAAGTTTATTGACTGCTTAGATTATGTTCGTTCACTCCTTCTGGGCAAAATTCTAACAATTTTATCACTACGCTACCATCCGCAAGCTCACTTCAAGGGCGTCATTTTTCTGTAGTGAAATATCAATTGAGATGCGGCGAAATCGATTTGAATTTTTCTACATTGGATATCATAACACAATCCATGTTCTTTGTCTCTACTCACTCCCCCTCCCCCGCATGACAGGAAAAGAAGCATTGGAAACGTAACGCAGACAAGAATGCAAGTGTTTATCATCAACTACTTGCAGATTTTTCCGACGCAAAAGAGACTACACTTTCCGAATTTGGTGCTCTTCGGGAAGCCCAACGCTGCCTAAAATGTGCGGATGCACCCTGTCAACGAAGCTGTCCAACAACAGTGAATGTCAAATCTTTCATAACTAGTATTTCTAACAGAAATTACTACGGTTCTGCAAAAACAATTCTGACCGATAACCCAGTGGGATTATCTTGTGGAATGGTTTGCCCGACCAGTGACCTTTGCGTCGGTGGATGTAACCTTAGTGCCACTGAACAAGGTCCTATCAATATTAGCGGACTGCAACACTTCGCTGTTGAACGGTTCGCCCAGATGGGGATTCCTCAGGTAAGTGGCACAGAAGAACAGTCGGAAAGGTCTTACCATCCAGTGAAGCGGACTGGTGAGATACGGAGAACATTCGTATGCTTCTCGTAAACTGTAGCTGGAAATGATTACTTACCAGCCAACTCTTGCTTCAATGTCTTACTCTGAGTGGGTTTTATGTGAGGGTTTAGCAGTAGCATTAGTAAAACAACAGTATGTGTGCACCCGACAGAAAAGAGAAAGGCCAGCAAGAAGTGCTTGAAGCACAAAAATACATTTAACTGAAACTGAAATGAACCGGTTCCACAATAGTTTGTTTTGGGTTTATAATCACGAAACCTAAACAGTACTGTCATTCTATCGTTATTTGTGTTTAATTTTAGTTACATTTATTGAAGTCTCTACTATTATGTACCATTCACCGTTATGACACTTTTATCAGTTTTCTGTGGTTCTGTACTTAACGAATTCCTTCAAATTAAGAATGGTAATATGGTATGATTTTCTAGTTTTATTGAATTTGTGCTTTTATCTGATTAGCTGGGAAGAGGTTTTTACTTTTCGCATTTATCCACAAACTATCTCATCGGTTTACCATGCTTCAGATGTTACCGCTTGCCTGAGTGGGTTCATAGACAAATCTACGAGTACATCAAATTTCCCAAATAACTAATGCATTGCAGTTACGGTCAGTTGCCCCGAGCTTTGAGTCACAATTGCATGCATGTGAATCCGGACAGTAATGATACAATTATACAAAATGAACCACCAAGTGATTGTCAAAAACCAGGGTATTACATTGAATCATGTTATCTGGGAACAACCTTTATCCCAAGTGCGCACCCGTTTTGCTTACTACGACCATGTGCTTGGCAGATGGTTTATCTATCTCTTTACTAAACAAGCCCTAATTAGGCATTTTGTAGACGGAATCCGAATTATATCAGCAATGAAATGAACATATTTTCAGAAATAACCAAAAGGACTGAAGTTCGAGTATGTTATATAAGAGTGTTGAATAATGGTATCTAAATGTCGTATTAATGTGATGAGGTACGGGGAACGTCCTCAGAAGTCTGTGTATATCAAAATTGTTTATTTTGGTTTTTATGGTTTGTGAATGTTTCCTCGCAAATAATCATAAGTCAATATACGTTTCCATCAGCTTTCCTCTCCCGTCCTTACTTCCCTCTCAAAAATCATCAGATACTGGATCCAAAAATTGCGGACAAAACCAAAGGGGTTCCAGTATACGACACGCCCATCGCGTTGGTAGGTTGTGGACCAGCAAGCATTTCCTGTGCCAGTTTTTTGGCCCGACTGGGTTATCGTAAAATTGACATCTTTGAGAGGTATCAGTATTCTGGAGGTTTGAGCAGTTCAGAGATACCAGAATTTCGTTTGCCTATGCGAGCTGTGGAAACTGAGATCCAATGGATGCAAGATCTGGGTGTCAGAATACATACTGGCCACGTTCTATCCACGCCTGAAACACAGACAAAGATTACGGGGCTGAAGCATATCAGCTTGACCAGTTTGCGTAAACAAGGATATAAAGCAATATTTCTGGGATTGGGACTTCCAATACCAAAACAGATCAAGGTATTCAAAGGTCTGGGACCAGAGAACGGGTATTATACATCAAAACACTTTCTACCCAAAGTTGCTGAAGCTACAAAGCAAGGGATCTGTCGTTGTACTGGTCGACATGCGCCCACTCTTCCAGACTTGAAAAATAAAAACGTCATTGTACTAGGTGCTGGAGATACAGCCTTTGATTGTGCCACTTCAGCTATACGCTGTGGAGCAAAACGGATTTCCGTAGTGTTCCGTAAAGGATTTACCACAATCAATCCGGTTCCGGAAGAAATGAAACTTGCATGGATAGAAAAATGTGAATTGCGTCCGTTCCTGGAGCCGAAACGTGCAATATGCACGCTCCAATCAGGCGATGATAATAGACCACCCCAAATACATGCAATTGAATTTGTCCACACAGAACAGCTGGAGGATGGAACATGGTCACAACATCCAGAACAACTGGTTCGAATTCAAGCAGATGTAGTCATCTCAGCTTTTGGTGCAGAACTATCCGACCCCGACGTAATTCGGGCACTTATTCCATTGAGACTACGTGAGAACAATTTACCTGAGTTGGATCTGCATACAATGCGCACTAGTGAACCGGATGTGTGGTGTGGTGGTGATTTGAGTGGACTGTCACACACTACTGTGGAGGCGGCTAATGACGGTAAATTGGCTGCCTGGCATATGCATCAAGCGATGCAAAAAAATTCCACCCCAGTGCATAAAAGGCTTGGTGCGAGATATCAGGCTGATGCGCACACCATGCCTGTTTTTACAACACCAATTGATTTGGTGGACATTTCGATTGAGATATGTGGCCTGAAATTCATGAATCCTTTCGGNGCGTCGGCCCCGCCGACTACATCTGCTCCAATGATTTGGCGAGCGTTTGAAGCCGGTTGGGGTTTTGCTGTGACAAAAAGCTTCGGTCTTGATAAAGATCAAGTCACCAATGTCTCCCCTAGGATCGTTCGTACCCAAGTGTCCGGTAACCTTTACGGCCCTGAACAGGCAGCCTTTATGAACATTGAGCTAATCAGTGAGAAAACAGCAGCATACTGGTGCAATTCAATTAAGGAACTGAAACGGGATTTTCCCAAACACATTGTGATTGCCAGTATCATGGCTGCGTACTTGCGAGAGGATTGGCAGGAACTCTGTGACATGGTTCTGGACTCGGGTGCAGATGCTATAGAGTTAAATTTATCCTGCCCCCATGGGATGAGAGAACGTGGAATGGGACTGGCTTGTGGACAAAATCCGAAAATGGTGCACGATATTTGTAGTTGGGTCAAAGACCGCGTCAAATCGAAACCAGTATTTGCCAAGTTGACTCCAAACGTCACTGATATTGTGACGATAGCACGTGCCGCGCATGACGGGGGTGCCGATGGACTCACACTGATCAACACCGTTTCCAGTGTTGTTGATATTCGTGGTAATGCCACCATATGGCCCACAATTGGAAAAGCAATGCGTAGTACTTCGGGTGGACTGTCCGGAAGTGCAATTCGACCATTGGCCTTGAAAGCAGTTAGTTCTGTGGCTAAGGCGATACCGGGCTTTCCCATTTTGGCTACCGGGGGGATCAGTTCTGCCGAGTCTGGTATGCAATTCATCTACGCTGGAGCTTCTGGATTACAGGTAAGAAAATGTTCATATAATCTTCATTCACTGCAGTCGAATACTGTAAATAATTTCTTTCTTTGATTTTCAATGCAATGGACAGTTGATAGACACATTTAAAAGAAGTATATTTTTTAGGGTCTACAAGATTTGGAAGTGCAGAAAATGGTTTAGCAATTTACATGTAATTGTATGAGGGCTCTGAAACTATGTTAATATGCTTAGCGGTAAGTCCAGAATAATTTAGGGTTCACCAGTCATCAGTCATTTATCGGGTGAGTACCAGTAATGCAAGCTCTTAACTTGTGCAAGCTGACGCGATCGAGGAACGTTTGATGGCTCTTAGCAGAAGTCTTAGTGAGCATGAAAGAGCCTGCATTGGTGTGTTGAATTTCAAACCATTTTAACTACAAGATATGACTCTCGCCCTAACTGCGCATCTCTGACCAAAAAGACAAACAAACCCGTACGTTAGGGATAAGATTTCTCACTGAAAATCAGACACAAATAGTCGTTTTCGTTTACATCTTGCTCGTTCTGTTCTCTTTGACGTCTTCTTTCTGTGACTCATTTCATGGCGCTAATATTTGATCATCTTTAATACTGATTTTTTATCGTTCCCTAGTCTGTTGGTTCCAATCAGCATAGCAGTAGTACATGAACTAACTAGTCCAATCACTGGTGCTTCTGTCTAGTTGTATGACAGCGAAATAAAAAAATGTAATGCGTGAGCATGCCACTCAATGTAGCACTGCTTTTACCTATCATTCATGTTACGGTTCTCGGTTGTGGACGAAAACACTGAAAACAGTTAGTCTCTTCTCGATTTGTGGCTGTCTCATTTGTACGAGCACTTGCTTGTCACCCTGTAGCTAGTTGTGCATGAAAATCCATCAGAGAACAGGGTGAGTAGCATGCATTTCAAGAGCCCCACTCATTTGAAAATGGGTTGTTTGTTTACTTGTACCGAATAAGAATAGTTGGTATTTATCTTTTTACATACGCACTGATTTTATTTCTGAAATGGGTAGATTTATCACCAGAAAATTCACTATTTTACCATTTCAGAACAAGGAACGAATTGAAAAAGTTTTCACTCGAGGGTAGGCAATCTATGATTCCATCGATGTTTCGTCGTATGAACATAAACCCTCGCAGAACGGGAGATATATGATTAGACTAGAGAATCTTGAATGTACCGGCTGATTATACGGGTACTGTTTGGTCGGTACTTAGATGTTCTAGAGAGCTTGCAGTAACGGATAAGTTTCTTTGGCATATTCCATGCTACACTCACAAAACTAGATAGAAATCTGAGGGGATGGGGTTGCCGCTAACCTTTCATCATGAAAATTATTCAAAAAGATGCGTTCTGATAGCTGTGTGTGACAGGCAGTTCATGCTGGAACAGATTCCGTGAGCGTTCAAACGAGAAGAGTTATAGTCAACGTATCGAACACCTGGTTAGGTATTAAGTTATCCGAGGAAAATATTCAGTGTAAACATGTTGTATTCGTTAACACACGCTTCGAGACACTTCGAACTGTGATCGAAGTTAGCAGATCTGGTGTATCTCTGTATGACAGGCCTCATCTAAACTGCTACTAGATATCGCTCTGTGTGCGTAAGTGTTATCACTACTTCCTACTGCATTGTCATCAGCCATAAAGTTGGCGGGTTTGAATGAGCTGTGATCTACCGTATGTTGGTTGGAAGCCCCAATGTAAACAATCATCTTCTAAGCAAATAAAACAATTGATAAAACTCGTTGTTTGACACTGTGTGCACACTACCTCAATCGACAGTATTCACACGAACTGTAGATAGGTTTGGACTCTTGTAGTCAAATTCAATTGAACCACGTATTTCCTATTGCAAACGAAGCCACAGCCTACGTTGTCATTTGATCAATAACTTCTCCCCAATTCGCTCTTTCTTTGAATTTCGCCTATTGACGGATGCGTCGGAGTGATACCTTGTTCGAGTAATTGCAATAAACAAAAGAAAGAAAGTGGGCAGCGATTTTTATCCGCTGATCACTCCAGTTCTTCGAATAGAACTGTATCATCCAAATTTGATTCGTGGAGCGGATATCACATTTCAGAGCACCAAATCGCAATGTGACAGGCATCTGAAGAAAATGGCAACTAAAAGAAACTTCCGCTGACAAAATTGACTAGATTTTGTTTGTTTTAATAAAATAAATTAACTACGATTGTTAATTTCTCAGACCAAGGTGGAATGAACCATAGTGAAAATATTTTTTGGTTGTATTCATATTCCGTAAATCAGAAAAGCCCCTCTGAGTTCTTAGAAATACAAGGTGATTTGGATTACGTGTTATTGCCGCTGAAGCAAGTCACATTTTTTGGTTATTCCATTAGGTTGGCTTATCTTGATGCAAGCTTTTCGCTTGGTTTCCATTTTCGCACCACTCTGCAGGTTTGCAGCGCCGTACAAAATCAGGACTACACTGTGATTGAGGACTATATAACTGGGTTAAAGACCTGTTTGTTTATGAGAAATCATCCAGGTTAGTTCTGTTTTGTCTGGTTGTGTTCAATTAAAGGAGTTGTGATGTAAACGGGAAGATTTGTTTGATTTTTCTCGTGTTTTGTCTAGCCAAAGCACCCGTATTGTGTCAATTATGATGACAAGATCTGAATCATGTCAGTGAGCATGCATTCAATCCAATAACAGTATATAGAAGTTTACTATTCTCTGCACAGGAAAAGAGGCTGCAGAGCCCCAAATTTCTACTTCTTTTTCCATTGATTGGGTTACAGAGATTAGAATGAATGATAGACATTTATGTTGGTGAAAAGTTTAAAAATATCAGTTTGTTTTCGAACGTTATGTTACAGGCACTGTGTTTTCTTCTTTTTAAATCACCCTCTTAGGGTTTCGAGTCCCGACAGGGACGCAAAACTTAGGCAATGCCGATAAGTCGTAATACGGACGAAGCGGTTTACCAGTGCTCGTTTTAGGTCATCACACTGCACTTTGCCATTGCGAAGCGTAGCATCAACTATTTCCTGCCTGATTGGACAGCTGTTTAACTATCTGCGATAATGCGAAGCCCATGAATGAAAAACACTGACAACTTAGCTTCAATTTGGTGAAAATAACGCCTGATATGAAAAACGTGACATAGCTGGCTTGATTTAGACAAGTCTTACTACTCCACCTGATTCAGCGGTTACACCAACTGCTTTGGATCAGTGGGTCAACTTTATCCCACGCAGTAAACTTGGGAAGCATCAGTGTTTGAGTCAATTTCTGACAGGCCATTGGTCTTTAAGTAATCTCAACTTTCGTAAATGAATTACTACACTCTTCCAGCTGTATTCATTTTTACTGTATGTGAAATTGCTATCTGATGGAGAAAAGTAACTACAGGACTACTATTCAGAAATCCAGCGTCGAGACGATTTATGCATTAAATAAATTTGGTAATAGGGATTATTTTCTATATCATACAATCATTGAAACTTCTTCAGATCATCGAGGAGAAATTCTGAAAAACATTCAAGCGTAAGTCCAGTCAACTAATTTAAATTTGGTCGACTTCAAGATGCGACAGTTCGGTTAACAAGCTTCTGATCAGGCTTACCCTTTCCCCAGTCCAGTTCTGCTACTTTGTTTACGGCCAGCATAACGGAATCAAGAGGTTACTATTACTTTTGATTCGTGATTCAGACGATCAGATAACATATTCCAAATGAAATCTGCTGCACTGAATGACCTCTGGAAGATACGGAGCATACGTAAACTGGGTAACGTCGAACAGGAGTAGTACGCAAATTGTATTCTATCTAAAAGCTTTCGAAATTTATCTTTCGACGACGCAGTGAGTATCTTCAAAATGAAGTCATCTTTGTTCAGTCCCTTATACTAGCCAGTGAAGCCAGTGAAAAGTGGCTCGGTTTTCATCAT